TATATATATATATATATATATATATATATATATATATATATATATATATATATATATATATCTCCATTTCTGAAATAACTTGAAGCTGGCAAAATCCTAAGAGCATCTCTTGTTATCTAATCCATATTGAAAACAAATTAAACTTTGCTTTTATTAATTCATCAAGTTAGATAATTTGAATAATTAAACTAGTGAGAAACATAATATAGGGCTTCCCTAATCAGAATTTACTACTGGAAAGCAAAACATCCACATACACTTTACCAAACATCAATGTAAAACTTCTACAAATATGTGAAAAAAAAAAAAAAACAAAAAAACAAAAAAAACACTTCATGCCCATATCATATCTGGCAAGAACCTGAGGGGTGTTTCAGTAAAAGAAGTCATGATCTTGCTCTTGGCTTTTTATGTCAGACATGTATTTTAAATTATTTGTATCATGATGTATGTGCGCCTCTGTTTACGTCTCACCAGGCCTCGGGCAGCAGAACGGCATATTCGTGGGGAGAGGTGGTTTCTGGAAAGTTGTAGAGGATAGCCAGCCTGTGCTGCAGGAGTTCTTCTCCATGATACGTGAACAGAATATTCAGAGCCTGAACATTGCTCTCCTACAAATAAACAAACATGAGAAAACCTCAACTGTAGTCCCTTTAGTTTTAGTTTCTTTTCAAATGAAACTGAAAATTCGGAGAATTTTGGGAGGGGGCGGGGGGTTTAAGGTGATGAATGCAGCTAGAATAAGACATCATGAGAACAAACTTTGAAGAAAATGAGACGCTCATGTTACCCTTGCATAGTTTCTTGCAGACAGAACAATATTTTGACTCCGGAACTTCTTAAAGAACTCTGCGTCATATTTCTGTTCAGCTGCATGAGGCCCACCAAGTATCTCCTGAAAAAAAGGGAGGGTGGAGCAGAGAGAAGTAGAGATGAAAAGCTGACAAAAAGGTTCACTAAAACAAATTTGAGAAGCTGGAGGGTTATCTTTCCAGAATATGTGTTGCAAACCAAACTAAAGATGGGAGGGACAGTTAAAGAAGCAGATGAGAATGTGAAGAAATGCAGTAAAGGAGAGTCAACAGAGATGCTATTTGACTTTGTAGCTTAGAGCTGCTTTGGGCAAATCTTAGGAACTTGTGTGTATGTGTGCATATGTCAGGAAGGAACATTTGTTGTCCTGGCCTTTGGCTAGAGGGATTTATCTGTGGGTATAAAATCTCTGCAGCATCTTTCATGCTTGAATATGCGTGTGCGTTGAAGAGCATGTCAAAATGCGTGTGTGTGATGGATAGCCTTTGAATGGGTCGTACTCAGACAGAGTCAGCCCGAGTTGGGATGATGAAAACCCTAATATCATATTCATAGATGGCCAGAGAAAATGGATTGGGGCAAAAGGCATCTGACGAGTCCTCCCGTTACCATGACAATGTCCGAGTAAAGTAAGGGACGTCACCCTGTCAGAGCTGAATATGCAGCAGGGCAAAGAAAATCTCATCTCCCCTTGCATGAGGGGAAAGCAAAGCCTTGTTCATTTGTGATTTATTGTGGATGAGCAGGGTGTGCATGTTAACATCCTTCAAACTGAATATAAAAATCCACTCCCACCCCCCCGAGCACTTGGCTGCAAGAGTCAAGCTCCACTTCAGACGTGTGTCTGTTGCGCTGAAGTGTTTCTATAGCCAGTCCATCAGTAATGTATGATGTGTTAGAGCACGAAGGATCTGCCACTTCTTCAGTCTTCCATTCATATACTTAAAAATCCTCTCACATCCATATCTTCTTTAGCTGTTTTTATATTTCTGAAGAGATTAGTGGGGTTAAGAGAAAGTATCCATGCAGGATAGATGAGAAAATCCTCTGCGCGTTGTAGGGATTTGATATGAAAGCAAAAAGCATTAGTTTGCTGGTGGGAAAACATCTAAGCCATAAAGAATGTTTAAGAAAACATTAAAGCCGTTTGTGTTCCACATAAACACAAGTGAAAATATGGGAGGCATTAGAATCCCTTTTACTTAATGCAATTTTAATTAAAATTAATAGCACTTCTAAGTCCTTCTCTTTGTATTAATTGCCACAGATTCAAGCTGGACTCTTAAGATAAAATCAGGATGCGAGTTTGGAAAACATCCATTCAGACTCCACAGGGCCTGCAGACTAAAGGATGAATAATCAATGCACAACTGGAAACTCCATTAGGGGTTTATAGAGACCTTGTCACACAAGATCATGCAACAGTATGATATTTCTCAAAGTGAAGCTTGTCTTGCAAAACCCTGCCGTCAGGATGACTTTCTCTTCATAAAAGTGTGCATTATAATTAAGAGTCGCAATATAAAAGTTTGCGCTGTATCCTTTTAAAGGCTTGTATATAAGAGTTTAAAAAAAAACTGGAATCAATTGCTTCAGTTCTGTCAGGAGGAACGGGTCCAAATTCCAACAACCTGTTGCAAGACGCTTTTTGAAGGAAACCCAAAACATTTGGCCCAAGTCGTACAATACACAACATTTATAAACCTAACTATTAATTTGATTCTATCCGTTTGTATTTTGTTGAACAAGTTACCAAATTTCCCTGTATCCAGCTTGGAAAATGTGTGTTTTTCTTTACGCTTTGAACCGAATCTTATTTTGTTGAAATTACTGACATTTAGAAATGCCACGGCTGCATTTAAGAGATCATGAGCATTTACTTAGCAGTATAATCTCACTGTGCTGTTCAGTGACAGGTTTCTTGTTGTTACCTCGTACGTCGCCAGTCGGTCCAGGTAGCAGAGCAGTTTCAGTCGACTACGACACAGCTCCTTCTGCTCCAGGGTCAACCTGAATATATAAAAAAAAAAAATAACCAAAAGGCATGTCAGTAAAATCCAGAGACTTAATTAAAGACCTCAACTCTGACACAAGGTCTTGGCCAGTAATGTTACCCACAGTGAGACTGCATGTCTGCCTTAGTCTGTTCACTGCAATAAGACACAAATTAACTGGAAATTGACTCGTCTGAGGACACCCACAGGGACATATTGAACTTTTGACTAGACTGCCCTCCAAACTAATCATTTTCTAAGCCAGCTAAATCAACTTCCTTTGACCACAAAAACCTATTCAGTCATTTATAGGATTCCATCAATGAGGTGAGTGATTATCCTACAAGAATCAAATCAATGTCCACTATCATTTAATCACAGCTATAAATAAACCAGATGACTGCAAACATTAAAGATCCAGGCAATCTCTGGGAAAGATCTGGTCTGCCTCTTGAAAATCACTCCCGGGTCAACAGCACTGGACCTGACCTCTCATCCTTCATTTTAATCCTTAATCCCTAATTACCGAGGGTGATATCAAGTTTTATCACGGTGTCTCTGCAAAGACTAACAAAGATTAACACTGGCTCAAAACACCCTCTGGCACATCAAAGAGTGCTGGCTTGGAGCTCGCACTACTGGTAATTACTTTGCTCTGTTTTCTCAGAGCGATGTTGAGAAAAAAAAAATGGAGTGAGGATATGAATGGCAAAAGGGTAAGGAAGAGGGATGAGGAGAGATGTAGAAAAAATATATTTACCCGTCTGCTGTTCTCTTGAGGATGTGACTGATCATTGCTCGAAACAATAAAAGAAATACAGAGAACTTCTGACAGTGAGCAAATAGCTCATATTGTGGGAAGTTTCTTAATTTTGGTGACAAATTGCCACCTGTATCACTGCAGAAGAGCCTGAACATTCAGATTGAGTCCACCTCCCATTTAATCTATGCTATTAAAATTAAAACATGCTCAGAAATTTGCTCTATTTTCATTATTTAAGTATGACACATCCATTAATGGGATACTTCATGCATCTATTTTGGCTAATTTGATGATTATGGCTATTAGCTAACGAAGACCCAATAAGTATAATATTACATAAGCCCAACAAAATGAAAGGCTTTTAAAACAAATATCAACTAACTGAAGAGCAAGTCCATGTACTGTAGATGATCTCAGTTGGTGGACGCTACAAGCCATTAGCTGTGAAGAGGAACCCCTGGTTACTTATGATCAGGACTTAACTGTTCTGATGTTGTTTGGTGTAGTTTTGTGGTGCTAGAGACAGGCACCACAAAATGTATTCTTTGAAAATGAGACCACATTTTCAAAGAATACAAATTCGGTATCTCAGTAAAGCTGGTCAGCAGAAGGAAGCATAATGTGGTTGGCAGCTGCACTGACTGAACTTTATAAAAGCACGGTGAACCGACACGACTGAGTGTGGAAACTTCACACTAGTCCTTAAGCAACTTAGATTCTGTGTCTCTTCACTCTTCCTCTGCAGCAGGGGTCACCAACTCCAGTCCTCGAGGGCTACCATCCTGTAACTTTTAGATGCGTCTCTGCTCAAACACACCTGGATCAAATAAACTGCTCGTTTCCAGCCTATTGCAGAGAGGAATGAATGCTGGTGAGGGAATGCAGACATTTTGGAGCAGAGGTGACTAAAAGTTGCAGGATGGTAGCCCTTGAGGACTGGCGTCGGTGACCCGTGCTCTACAGTCTGCAGAGGAAGAGTGAAGAGACACAGGATATATGAGTGATTTCCAAATAAAAAGTAAAATTGACTTTCATCTGAAAAGAAGACCAGTGTAAAAAGTAAAAACAGTGTTATTTTACTTCAATTGCACTTTTCGCTCATACTAAGCTTATCATTTCTATGTTTCTTTGGAAATATCCTTTTCTCTTAACCTCCCTGTGGAGGATGTCTGCTAGACAACTCTCTTAAGCCTGCAGTCTTCTCCATTGTTGCATAGGTCATTGCATGGCCATAACATGAAAGTTCTGAATTTTAAAATATATTTTTTTTCTCTTTAAGTGTCAATATTCAAACTTTGAGAAAAAGAAATAAATCATGGATTTTCATTGGCTGAAAGCTACTATCAAAATGCACAAAAATGACTGGATTATGTCACTGTCTGAATGAAGTTTCTAGTTGCAATTCTGCAATGTTGTTCCACATTGTATAAACAACAAGGTTCTGCAGTTCAGTGGTGAATACAATAAAGGGAAACCTGGTAATTCACTGCAGAGGGTAGGAGGATCTGCGCCTTTAAAAAGGTTTGTAGTCTATTTTTCTGAACTGTTCTTACAAATGTGAGAAAGAAAAGACTGAACGAATCAAATCTGTGACATCTTAAACTGTAATTCAAGCCGTCTGTCGAGAAACTGTGTATGAGCGCGTTTATATGAAGTACACAGCCTGCATTCAACTAGTCTTGCACAGGCAGACATAGTCCAACACTGCAGAAAGGAGGAAATTAGACTCCTAGCGGAAGCGTAAATCTGATCTACGAAGAACACAAACACCTTGCAGCAGACTACATCCTTTTATCTACACCCGTGTCCGCCAATTTCTCATTTCTCTGTATATGATGTGAATGTTAAATTCTTCTCCAAACATGTTGCACAGATTCTACTAAAAGGATTCTACTAGAAGAGTGGGTTTCATTTAATCAGAACGCTCAATATCCATCAAGACTTTTAAAACGTCCATCTGGATTTTCTTGCCAAAGATTGCCGAGGTTCAGGAATAATGACATTTTATTTCACAGTTTGGACACGTGGCAGGATCAAAGATGCATTCTGTCTGATGGTCTACGGATTGATGCACAAGGCGCCCCGACTTACTCAAGAGCAGATGTGATCGATACCAAGCCATTTCTGTAATGGTTGTGTAGTTAAAAAGAAATTAAGAGAATTATTATGTGACTCACAGGCCTCAGCCGCAGGCCTGCCGTCAACATGCCTGGTTCCATTAGGGGCGCGCACAACCGCACACAAACACATTTTGGGGACACATGTCAGCTCCCTGGGAGACATGATGACTCAAAGACGGATAAAAGAGAAAAATATCCATGTTTTAAGAAGTAAATTCACTAACGACTCGATGCAATGGCCTATTTTATGGTTATAAATGATCGATTTTTTATTTTTATTTTTTTTACACCCTCCTAAAACCCTGCGCTCATCTTCCATCTTTTATTTATCGGCACGACTACAAGTCTGCTTTAAAGCTCCGGTTTATTACATATAAAATGAGTCACACAGATAATCACACAAGCAAAATGATGACACATTACGGCAAATGAATGGCAGCCATTACAAAGCTCCCCATTACAAAGGTTGTGCTTGTTTTCATTCAAATGCACACATGTAAGAAGAACAAAACAGTGCGCAACCCAGCAACTTCAGATTAAAACCAGCAGGAACCATGCAAACAGTATAAATTAGAAAGTGCAACATCCCTGCGTGTTTGTGATTATTTCCCTCCGTTAACGTACATTTATTTAAACAGGTGTGTGTAACGTGCATGAAATCGCATTAGGAGTGTTTTTGGGATACATGAGCACGCAAATTTACATGTGCGTATGAAGGGTGATTAGTGATCACTAAAGGGTTTTTCATTAGTCTTTCCCTGGGCACTCGACAACAAAGGCATAAATTACCTCTAACAGATTACCCACTAATCTGTGCCAATGGTTTTCCTCTGTCTTTTCCCCCCTCATCCTCATTAGCATGGCTGCCTTTATGATCCTCTCTCTTCTGTGCCACCTAATCAAACTATCAGAGTTAAATTTGGCAGCCCGCTCTAATATCCACTCCTGTTTTTGTTTTTTTTCTGTCTACAAACCTAATACGTTAGCCACAGTGTTTCCTGTCTGGCATAGAGTGGATATTAAAAAAACAAAGTAATATTTTAATACACAAGAAAACAACTTGCCAAATGAGCCATCTCCCACTGGGGAGGGTCAGGTTTCACTTGGTGGGATTTTGTCACCCACTCAACAAATGGTTCTCCCAGGTTTTCTAGATGAATAAATAGATTACGCCCACTGGTTAGTAATAAGAAAAAAAAAGGAAAAACATACCAGTAAATAATTACATAAACATTAAATTAACTAAGCCTAAAAGACACCAAAGCAGGGGTCTGCTTGCCAACTCAGCTTGAGTCCAACAGCCAAACAGATCCTCTCTTACATTCGAAGACAGAGACACCTACAGAATGTCTGGCTGGCTGCAGAGCAAAATTTACTTTGTAGTGTTTTGTTTTTCCAAACATATTTCATCAACTTCGCCACATATATTTTTACCTGTTGGCTTTTGGGGAAAAGTTAGAGCTCAAATGGAATCATCAAGAAACGTTTAAAAATATGTTTGTCTCCAAATTCTCATTAGAGATACCATCTCTCTATTATGCCCCTCACTTTTATATTAGTTCATCCTTTTGCTGACCATCAAAATGACCCACAATATTGTGCAGAACTGCATAGGACAAACTCTTTTTCTGACTTATACAGAATGGATTGCAGAGCAAAGGTTAGAAATACATACTTTTCAGAAATTATACTCCATACTTTTCCAGTCAGGAAAAATACAATAGCGCCTGAACTCTGAAGTTGGATGTCAGAGATCCTGAACACGACCATAGTTTTGATTGATCTCAAAACTATCAGAAAGAAGGTTGAGACCAAGGCACAGAAGACAAAAAGATACAGAGAATGACTCCAGAGGGAAAGTGATAAGAACAGCTGATTTCAGGAGCAAGGAAAAGGTGCACGGAAAAATTCTCCATCAGTGATTACAGTGACAAAAATCGGGTTTAATTCCTGTTAAACCCAGTCACCATTCAATGGTTTTCAATACAATGGTTAAACTGGTGCTTCACCACCAGCTGTTAGACTGGTACGTAACACTGCAGACGTGAAAGGTCAAACATTGGTAGTAAAACCTGCGTACCTGCTGAAATCAACCTTGGCTAGCAGCTCCTGTCTTTTCCTTTTCTCCTTATCCTTCTTCATCTCCTCATCATCAGACAAGAGGTCGTCATATGGGAGGTCATCAAGGTCCACATCGCCAGGCATGATAAACCTGAGAAATGGAAAGAAACATGCAGAATACGCTCCTTGTCAGAAGGGGCAACACAGGTAAAAATCACTTGATGTTTGTGTTCAGCATCACATATCCCACCTGCCACCATCTTCATTTAGCCCAATGGCTATCAGGGCCTCGAGGTCAGTTCCCTTCAGCCCGTACTGCAGCAGCTCTTTAGCAGCGTCTACATTTTCTGGGACACGCTCCACACACTCGTGCAATACCCAGGAGCGCTTGCGGATTTTGCTCTAGGAGAGTTTAGGGGAATAAAATACGGAGAACTGAGTCAAGAAGAAATTATGTGATAAAGTGAGATACAGAGTTAGAAAAGAAAGGCAAAAAAGGTGACCTTAAATTAGGTTACATGTTTTTTTTTAGCTTCAGAGCTTGTGATTTTCCCACTCAGCTCTTCTCACAAATCAAACTAATTATACAGCGGTAAACAGCTAAACGTTTGACATAAATGATCAGTTTTTTTTTTTTCCTGTATTTCCCTCAGTTCTTACCAGATAATCTTGAATTGAGGCAATGCTGACATGGCTCTTCCTCCACTGTCTCTGGTAGACCAGATCAGAGTCCAGGTTGTATGCCTGAGCGAGTGACAGAGCTTCTCCATATTCCTCATTGTCAATCTGTGAGGAAAGCAAAAGCATTTGCACAATCAACAACTCTGCCTTTTTTGTTGTTGATGTTGTATAATGAAACAGACAATGCAAAGGGAGGAGAATATGAACTTACAATTTCAGAGAAATGCAGTGGGTTTTTTTTTGTTTAGTGCATGAGCATAAAACCTCTTTAAAAACACTTTAAAAATTTCCATTTTGCAAAAACCAAAAAAAGTGCATTTTGATTGAGACTTAAAGCAAACAAAGAATAAAAAAAAAAACATCTGATATAATTTATACATCTTTTTATTTAATCTGCTCTTCAAGGGTACAGCATTGATTCAAATTTTATACACAAGGACCTTCAGGTGAATATAAAATATGAACTACAATGAATTGACTCATTGAAATGAGATTGTACAAAACAAAAGTGAAAAAAATCATTACTAATATGTTATAATTTGTTTGTTTAATTAATCATTTGACCTTATTTATTTTGCTCATTGCAACTTTGAATGACTTAAAATTGTTTCTGTAAAGCACAGAATTACCTTGAGTATAAAACTTTTGCTTATTTACTGGGAAGAATGAACTGATAATGAAGGTTTCTGAGCAAGTGTTATGGAACTGATAACCAAGATGTTTTTTCTTCTCTGTCCAACCAAAACTCCTTTGAGCCGGGTTTGATTTAGGAACAGAGGTACCAATTAACCAGAGATGAGAGAGACTTAGAGAAACTCCCTACAGGAGAGAGATGGATGGAAGGCACCGTGTACGTGACTGATAAGTTTCACTTCTTCTCTCGCTTTTCTTTTCTCACACACTAATATTTACTCTGATTTTCTAAATAAAATATCTAAAGACAAATGCGCATTTCTCTGATTGATTCAGTGTTTCGCTCGCTCCCAGAACCAAAAAGACTTTTCCTAAACAGTATGAATGGTGTAACAAGACTAACCTCACTTTGCTTTGCCCTTAACAGCTCCAGGTTTTATATTACAGGGAAGCGCAAAGAGGCCAAGGTTTTGACTAAATGTGGCTGCAAGCAGTGTGTCCCAGAGCGGGAACAGGTTACACATTCACATTTCAGTCATATGTTGAATGTGGCAATGCTGCAGATGAGGAGACAGTCCCATGTCAAAAAGACGTTGTTACCAAGAGACAGTCTGAAATATCAGGAAGAATCAGGAGCAAAATATACTCCTTACTTCCTCCACTCACTGATTTGACAAATTGCCATGAAAATCTTCATCTGTTGAACTCGCATTACAGCTGGAGACTTTGCTGTCGCTTCTTTAGTCTTGGGTGGCTATTGTGTTACAAATTGATGCCTGTTTTCTAAGTTTTGACAACTTGCTTGGGTGCATTTTATTTTACACTTCCCCCATACACATTTCTTGACTTTGGATAAGAAATTAAAACTAAGCTAGTAAATATGCCTCGTTATTACTGAAAAAGCCTGTTTTTATTTCCATTTTGTTTCCATTTTTATATTTGCTTTCATGAGCTCGCATGCATTGTCATCGTTTCTGCTGTTGTGGTTGTTCAGGATTTTTGACATATCAGTGCCTAGCAATATGACTTAATCCAACAACAAAAGTAATGACACTACATTTTATGTAGGCCCACTCAGTGTGCGTCTAAGTAACCCGCCAAGCAAACTGGTCGACAGACACACTGAGGATTCCTCTCTCTTACTGTGTGGGAGTTAAAAAGCAACACATTAGCCAGAGTGTGGATCCTGGAGGCCAGAAAGAACCCCACACAGTTAAACCTCATGTAGGAGGAACATCAAAAAACACTTCCTCTTTTCTCTAGGTTCATCTAATGAAACTGTTTGCAGTCTTGCCAGTGTGCCGCTAAAGCATTCAGGGTTTCACTGCCAAGTGCATCATCAAACGCTTAAACATGTGAAGAGGCTGGCTTAAGGAAATAACCCACTTGACCACAGCCCACTCACTCTAGTCAGTGTCACTGCATAATCTCAGCAAAATGAATCTGAGAGGATCACTGTTGTTCTTATAATTGTGCGAATTTGTGTGTCAGGGTTAGTGCAAATCCAGTACCACCATTAAGATTTTTGTAAGCTATTAATAAATCCCATATGTTTAAAATAGAAACCGCCAAATGGTGAAAACGTGAACTGAAACAGATCAGTAAAAGATGGGTAGATGTTTCAAAAGGAAAAAAGGATGAATTAAAGGAAAAGGAAATATCTGGGTAGAATCACTGAAAATGACATATAACACATAAAATATCATTATTTGTTAATTTATTCATTTGATATTACAAATCTCCAGAGAGTGTAAGTGTACTCTTACACCAAAGTTTCGCGCCAAAAAAACAAAAAAAAAAAAACAAGCCTCGTCTCATCCTCTGTTTCGTCTCATTGAGTCCTGAGATTGGGGGGTTGGGGAAAGTCAGATTTTTTTATATTTTTTTATCTTAGTTACAAGCAGGTCAGGAATAAGATCTGGTCAAGAAAAAAAAATTATACAACTCTGAATTGAATAATTAAGGACTTAAATGCAAAACTACATACAGATATTGAGACGCTTGTTAAATTGAACACGTACATAACGAACTAAAGAAAGGACAAAAAAAAGAAATTATGGCAGACGTGCAGCATCAGCTATCAGGGAATTGCAGTCGGTACCTAGTGTAACAAAGAGATAATAATGATGTATTACTTTGTAACTCTCACAGTTGGGATTGATGGTGATGACTGATGGCATCTAATGATGATGACAATGATGAAGAAGGCAGCAGATGATGGGTCATAAAAATGACTGATGAACCGTGCTCCAACTCGGGACTGGATAGGGAAGATACCACTCTCGCTGCGCCCCAAGATAAAGCTTGTTTTTGTCTTTTGCTGCAATTTGTAGCAAGCAGCACCAACAGTCATATTTCTATAAAGCAATTAGCATTTCAGAAAACACCCCCCGGGACTGAAAAATAGCCTTAAAACAGACTGAGTGTCTTGCTTGGCTTTTCATTTTCTCCTCAACAGCGCTCTGGAGCCGAGCCAACAAAACATTAGTTCTTCTCTGAGCTAACAGAGATTTATTTGGTCTGAAACAGATTCTGCTGAAGCCCCAATTACAATTCAGTCGATGACCAAACAAATGGCGGCGACTTCCTTCAACTGCTGCTAAATGAAGTGCCATAAAGAATTGAAGAGTTTCGCAGTGAATGTGGTGTCCTCTGTGAAACCAAACTGCTCAGTGAAATTGATTACCGACATTACGGCGAGGTGCACATTACTCCTGTATTAGTTTTAAAATGATAAAGGCAGTGTATGAGGTTCATGCAATTAGAATTTAACCATCTTTGAAATATTACATAAGCAATATCCTTTTTTTTTTTTTTTTTTCTAAAAAATGAATTTGCTACTCGGCGGGAGGCAAAAGAGCACATCAGAGGAGGAGGAGTTGTTTGGACAACTGAGCTAAATGAGCTTTCAAGTTCAAACATGAAGACATTCCAGCATAAACACTGACGACAGCTTTTTGCTAAATAAACCTTATGAGCATGTAGTTATGAATGAACTTTTAGACACCTAAGACATAAAGAACCTTCCCCAACTGTAAAAAGCAATCAAAAATAATTAGCGGTGTACTATGAAACCAAAAATCTATTGTGTTTGTAAAATAATTTATAAGCATGTTTTGGAAGATGGAGTTGATCACCAGTTCATTGAATAACTGTGTAGGCAAATACAATTGTTCTTTGGAAAACACCATAAAATGCCGAAGTTCTCGGTTAGAAATCCAGCCACCTTGAAAGAAAAATACGGTGAAGTGCAGCTATGCCTATGCATAGCTGCACTTCACCGTATTTTTCTTTCAAGGTGGCTGGATTTCTAACCGAGAACTTCGGCAAAAAGCTTTTTGAAGCTTTTTGTCACATTATAATCCAAACCAACATATTTTATCTCAGAGACCAACAGAGAGTAGAAAAAGAGTGAAGTGGGAAAAAAAGGCAAAACAGTATTCCCTTTCTTCCCTCTAGAAATAAAAATGCATGTGAATTCCACCCAATCTGAATTCTCTGTCGCCCTAAAATAAAATCCCACACAACCAACTCCCTTTAGAAAAGATATTACTAGTACTATAAAATTAAATTTAAAACTAGAACAAGTCCTACAGTTGGTCTCAAAGTCATATTCATCAAAACTCTCACAATAATAATCATTTGAATCATTACCGTCAGGCATAACATTGTCCTCTTCAGAAACTGTAACCATAACAGCAGACGCTGTAATTTGTTGTATGTATAAAATTCTCATCTACGATGTTTAAAGTACAGTGTAACATATGCAAATGTCAGAGGTCACTACAATAATAATTACTAAATAGATACTAATCTGCAGCAGGCGAGTACGAATTTCACAAATATCTTGTTTGAGAAACGCCCACATTTACACAAACACCGGAACATAGTATGCACTTTTAAACAATATTTAGTATAAATAAACATTTAATTCAAATTTGCAACATATACATTTTTTACAGAAGTAAATTTATAGATAATAAACTTTTTTCGTTTCCATACAGGACTTAGGGGAATTACAAGGGGATAGTACAAAAAAAAAAAGCCTAATGACTCTTTCCTTTCAGGTAAAGCTCCATCGAATGCAACTGGGCCAGAGAAGTTCCTTATATTTTTGGCACAAACCCTGCAAAGGAGCTTTGAATGTTGTTTGCCAGGATTACTTTCTCTTTCTCACTGTTTATTCAATGTCACGTGCTATTTTTATTTTAATTATGTAAAGCACTTTGAAATTCCTTGCTGCTGAAATGTGCTATACAAATAAAATTTGATTGATTGATTGATTACTTATACAGAAACTTGAGCAAAAAAAAAGGTGGAAAAGAAACTCTGCTTTCATTTGAATCAACACACGTATGGTTCAAACTAAAAATACTGCTTTTTCCCCTTTTCCCTTTCTCAACTTCTTATATTTATTTTTGCGCAAGGAAATCACTTTCATGTTTGGTAATCTGCTTGCATTTAGCAAAAGATCAAAACAAGCCATCCAGCTCAAAAAATATTATGCACCTGCTGGAAATTCTTCCTAATTTTTGTGTGACACAAGGGTTCACGAAGAAAGCAAGTTATCTTCATCTAACTTTAATAAATGCAACTCTCTAACAAAGCCTGGCATAACTGTGGGATACAGTTTGAGCATTTATCTATGGTATGTAATAAAGCTATGTATTAAATATAGAACACAGGGAGAGATTAAAGTGCAGTGTAGTGTAATGATGTTTAATTCCTCCTACCTTCCTCTGATACAGCTCCTCCGGGGTGGTGGACCTCAAACTGACCAGGCGGTAGTTCTTAGCGACTGTTCTGGGTCGTTTGCGTGGCGGCACGAAACGTTCCATCTCCGTCACGTAATACAAGCCCTGCTTGACGTAGCCAAAGTAGCGGGCTTTTGCTGAGGACTCTTCATCCGAATCAGACTCTCCGCCATCGTCTCCTTCCTCTTCCTCGACGGTTGCGCCGCTGCCGAGATTGCTTTCGAAGCGTGCGCGCTTCTGAGCAAGTCTCACCTCGCACTAATGAGCATGACAGAAAGGTAAAATGTTCACCAGGCGGAAGCACAGAGCATAAAAACAATAGGGGGGACATAATGGCCTTTAAAATCCAGGTTAGCACCTCTTTTGGTTTGATCACAGAAGACATTCACAGTGACTTAATATCGATAGGAATATGCAGTGGCTCAACGTTAAATACGCAAACACTTTATTTTCCAATAATCGTGCCAAAAATGAATGAAAAAATATGCGAGTGGAAGAACCTAATAGTTCAGTAGACAGAGGTAGTAAATTTTGAGTACTTTGGGCACCTTAGTGAACTCTGCATCGCCTCAGCTGTTACTCAATGGCACTTTTATGACACTAAACGACCATTAGCTGGAAGTGATTTTTTTTAAGGCCAAACAACATGTTGAGAAAAGCCAACTTTACACAGAGTTAAAGGCTCATTTGTGCTCAGTGTGCAGACACATAGACCTACCCCATCTTCTGCATTTGTGAGTATTTTAGTTAGTAAATCAGGGAGTGGAACTTCTCTCTATCCACATTCCACCATGTATTTAATGATCACACAAACAACCGCCGTCTACTGCTATTGTGCTTCTTTTTACGTCTCATTCTGAGAATGCACATTATCAAGACTTTCTCCACCGCCCATGTCTGCTATTATCTGAAACTTTCCTCTGAAATTGAAAGATAACTCAGAGCTTATCTCTAACAGCTGCATTGCATAAAAACCGGGGTAAATGAATACCTGCACTGAAAACATGGGGTGAGGCCTGAGAGCAACACAATAGACCTGCGGTAGGAACAGGTGGGCAGATGTTACCGTTTAATATTTCCTCCAAATATTTGTGTGAACTCCAATAATTAAGGTTTACAGATTTTAACTAGACACTATAATTCACCTTTTCATTGACTAATTTGTGTCAGTGTTATACAAAAGAAAAGTATGCTTCAGTTTCATAAGAAATCTGTACTGCAACAAAAAATGGAAATAATAAATATTGCCCAGATGCACTGTATGATTGCCTATGACTGCAATTCAAAATGTTCTTATTAAACAGCCCTTTATCAAGATTTGTTAGTTTTCCAGTCAGGTTCATAGACTCAGGAGGATAAGTAACACAAACACAGTGCGTCTCTCCTAACATGGTTGTTCAAGGGATAAGAAAATCTGTTGTTAGCAAAAACAAATGAATTACCACAATTCTTTTCTAGGAGGAAGGCTTAACCATTTCCTAATCCGAATGACTATACCCAGCAGCAACCAAACACTATCACTGCAAAAATATGACTTAAGAGGTGAAATCACAGGAGGATTCCAAGCAATTCTCTACAACGACCTTCAGATAAGGAATATGAACATTTATGTGCAAACATTAAATGACAGATGATAAATGATGCAAGGACAATACTGTGGCACTAATGTAGCTGTGCTGTTGGTAAACACACTAAATTGAACACATTTGTGTCCATTCAACAAGCAGTCTTAACAAAACAGCATCAAGGCCGAACTGATGAGTAGAAATTTAAATACAAAGCACTTTCTTTTGCTGGTTTTATTGGGGGTTTTTTCTTAATTACCTCAGAATGGGGTTGAGCATTTTAGAGTCCCCACTGTCTTTGTTATGATGTCCTGCTGGGCTGTAGCTTAAAATTGAAATGATGCTTTAGCACTTAAAAACAGTGATGATTTAAGCATCATCACTGCAGTTTCTAATTATTCCACACTTTTGGACAAATACACACAATCTGCAAGTGGACTTCAATTAAAGATACATGTTTAGTCCAGCACAGATGATGCTGGGGAAAAAAACTGAATAAAAACAACTAAACTTAACTTTCCCCCTCCTACTCCTCTCTGATGCTAAAACAGGCTGATGACACATTTCCTCAGGGTTGCCAGCTAAAAAATGCTTCTGTGAGATCAGACGACTTTTAGACTTTATTGTCCCCAAGGGGAAATTCTTTTTTCGCAAACCAGCCCCACAACAAACTAAAGCTCAGCAGTGGAATTAAACGCAAAACTTGTTTTTCCCCCCAAAATATTAATTAGTCAGAAGAACTGACACGTTATAATTCCCTTGTGACCTGACCAGTCTTATTATTTTTATTAGCAGTTTGTGCTTGGACTGAACAAGCAGTTTAGCAACAACCCAAATTCCCAAAAGGCTGGGATATTGTGTAAACTTTTAACTAAAAGTGAATGCAAATTTCATAAACAGTTTATGTACAATGAAATGTAGAAGACATATAAAATGTGTAAATTAAGGCATTTGAATTTTTTTTAGAAAATAGAAAAAATTGCATTAAGCGTTCTTAGTTCTGGTGTGTCTCGTCTTCCATAAACAATAACGGATGGATTATTTATGGGCTTTAGGTTAAGAGAGTTTTACCTCCTCTCAAGGCTGCAGCTGTCCCTTTTGTTTGTGCACCTTCTTTTATCCACACTTTTTCCTTCCACTTAACTTCATTATTATGCTTACGTGAACACCCAGTTTCAGGCAAGACCTTTAGTTGCAGAGACTCCCATCTAAAACCTGCGAGTTCTTGAGACCCCCTCTAAAAACACCTGCCTGTTCAAAACACCAAATACACCGTAATGTGCATTAATACACAAACTGGAAGTGGTCCAAGCACTACTGCAGAAGCTACATTCTACCTTACTTCCACTGTTTGGGGGAACAGCTAATTAGCACCAAGGAACATAAATAAAGCGCTCCTGGATTGGCTGCTTTGCAAACGGTAGCCAATAACTGAATTTTTCATTCCTCCTGACTGCAAATAAGATATTTGCGCCACAACACATTTTTATGAGATTTGCACTCTGTTTAATTTATATTTTACGCAACATCATAATTTGGGGTTATGTATTAATGAAGGTGAAGAACAGCTCAATACTCCACGAAGCATGTTTTAAAGAACTACAGGATGAAAGCTGTGATCTACAGATAACGTTAATGGATGTTCGCTCTGGTTCAACAATCTGCACACATCCCTCAATGTGACATTTACCTCCAGGCTTAGGAAGCCCCCGTCATGCGCAGCAGTGACTCTGGGTGAAGGCTCGAACCATTCGCAGGATTTCCCCAGAAGGTTGCGTAACGTCCTGACGGATGATACGGTGACCGACCCAGAGCAACGAGCCAGAATCAACACGTTGTCACTCCACCAACTCACATCCACCAGTGGGTAGTACTGCTCCTTATCTGGGACAAGTGCAGTGACACATAAAGGTCAGTCAGAGCAGATTTTTTTTTTCTCTTCTCATCCTCACTTAACATGTTTGTGGGCTTTATAGCCTGATAATCCCCTTATCCAAAGAGAAACTTTTTAGTAACTTGTCTCCCTCCCTTCCAGACATATTTATATGTAGCGCCATGAGACATCACTTGTCATGAGGATATACGCCTAGATTACTGCTTACACAAAATGTGATAGCTGTCACCACTAGTGGCCTGAAACTGTCAAAATAAGATTATAGCCAAATACACAAACACCGAAATACACACACAAAATGGCCTGGTTACTGAAGGGAGAAAATATTTGCTGGCCCCACTATGCACCATGAGCTTTGTGTTTGTGAAAACTGTGTAATTTGATAGATCAACAGTGTCAAATATCATTAAATTGTGTCCGAAATGTGCCATCATGTCAGTAACAAAGCACTCTCTTTTTGCTGCTCCAGGCCAAAATACCTTTTATTTTCTTCCTCCTCTCCAGTGATGTCTTCCACTCCGGGTTGATCTCCTCAAATCCTGGCTGCAGGGCGGACCGGAAAGATGGAGGCACCAAAGCAGGGAGGGAAAAGAAGAAAGAGCGGAAAAGGGGATGGGGAAAGAAATTAATCTGCTAACCCTGTTTACACTTGCAGCACACATGAGCTCCACCGGCGGCGGGGCTGAACGTAGACGCTGAATAAATCAGCAAAACATTTGGCGAATTTAAGTTCCTCACATTATGTGGGACGGAAGCAAACACAAACACTCAAAATCCTTCTCCCCACACCGAAAAACCATGTCCTAAAGAAGATTACATTAATGCTGTCAGTGAAGAACTTAACATACAAAATATCCTCACAAATACGACTGTAGTGCAAATTCAGAACACAAATATGAGCAGCTTAGGGTTGTACCTGTTGGTCCTGGCTCCATGTGGCCCTCTGTTTCAGGGAGGGGACGTCCCAGACAGACAAACGCCCAGAGAAGTGGATGACAGCCAGGAGTGTCCCGTCAGGGCTCAGGCTCATGCGGAAGACACCATCCTGAAGAATGAGAATGCCAACACATTCTTCTTATTAAGAATAGATCGGCTTTTTATTTTTACAATGAGGTATTCAGGCTGAACAGGGCTGCTGTACCTTTTCATCTCCCTGCCTTGAAAAGAATCTTAGGTTGGGGATCCTGAAGAAACCTCTCCTCTGATTCTACAAACACAAACACAGGGTGAAAATGTTTCATCTACAACACGACTAAACTGTTTGCAAGAAAACGAGGTGTTGCAGACATCTCACCGAACCAATATCGTCCTCGTAACTGGTGACCTGCTTGTAGTGAGGCGAGCCAGAGAGTGCCCTCCAGGCAGTGATGCCGCTGCAGGAGGCCTTGGATGCACCATTATCCCCTGATTCACAGCCTCCTACCAGCAGCAATCTACACAAACACACACCGTCTTCATGACTGTGCCTCTAACCTTGTCATCCTTTAATTCCAACTAAGGCCAGAGAGAATTCCCACTACTGATCTGTCATTTAGGTGCCTGGCAGATTAAGTGTTATTTATCAGAGGAAAGGTCTGGTTGGAATGACTTAAGCTCAGTAAAGACACAAATAAGACCTCATTGATTAGTGGTTCCCTTCATTTACAGTGGGATTGGCTGTGAAACCAGGCTTTCCAACTCAAGACTGCCCCCTGGTGTACAAAATATAGATATTAAATATGAGCAAAATACAGTTATTTTGCCGTTTAATACCTAATGTGTGTCGACGTCACTGGTTCTTCTAAATACACTTAATCTGTGTGCAAAAATTGCATGAAATCAATTAATCAGTTTATTTAGAGAGAAGTTTTCTTGCAGAGCAAAAGTAACACATTACACAAGACTAAAACGACAAACTAAAACATCAAATACAAAAGAAATTGAACAAGTTAAATGATGTGAAACATGGAAAAAAAAATATGGACACTACAGAAACTGCGGTCATTAGTATGAAGGGTTGAGGAACTATTGCATTAATGATGATGAGAAAACAAGTTTATTGAGACTGGAGGTGGACATAAAAAGTGGCTGTGCCTCATGGGCCAGCACACATCGGCCTGCCCTCTAATTGACCTCTTGCACTGCAGACAATAAGATGTATTGCAATTAATTATTAATATAGTACATTTATATGCATAAAAATTGTATTTTCTCTCTTTTCAAAAATGTTCAACTATTTTTATTTATTGCATCTCACAATTATGTTTTACTTTTTATATTTTTAATTTAATCCTGTTGTTTTTGCTTCTTAATATTTTTTATTACACTTTTATTTCAAAACTAGCAAAACAGAACAGAAAACAAATGAGCCTCTCTTTCCCCAACAGATACAAATAGATGTTTTGTTTTTTTTATGTATCAATGGCAACTTCAAAATTTATTAGTAATTTTTCCCCTGAAAAAAAACAAAACAGATCAAGCAATAAAAAATAATACCAAAAATCTACATTAACTTAGAAATATATACCAATATTTATTAAAATAATGTCAAAACAAACAAGGTATAAGGAAAAGGTTGTTGTTTTTTTTGGTGGGGGTGGGATTCGATATGAAGTCAAATTTAAAAGTACAATCAAACTAAAAGATATAAGTTGAACTAAGGTCAAATTAGCAACAAACGATTTTAATTACTAAATGCCAGTCTTAAGTCAAACCAAAAATACATGTCTTAGGTTTCCTTTTGAAAACATCATTTAAAAAATTACTCCACTGCCCTCAGATTATCAGGGTAGTGATTGCTCCCTTGTTGCAGAACAACAAAGGAGCAATACAGGAAGAAGTGGATTGATGCCACCATTACCATTCCTAATGCACAACTGCACATGTGTCCTAACAAACGTAAATTATTTTAATAATCATCCAGAGATTTGAAATTATTTTCTAAAATCCAATTCCTTAACCTTTCTTTTATCCTGGTTTGCTTTCTCTTCTTCCTCATGTTGACCCAGTTTTTTCACATAGGGATCATTAAAGTTTCATCTCATCTATCAGTTGGCAAACATTTGACAGTAGCTGCCAAAATCCATTATGCTTTCATGCCAGGTTTCACCGGCCAAAGTAAATTTGCTTTGTGCGGCCCATGGGCCCTGGGGAAAACCGTAAGGTCACAAATATGAGCCTGATATAATTAACCACAACCTCTGAATGGGCAGAGGAGAATTTCAAGCCAATGCAGAGACAATTCCTGCAGGTATTTTATTAAAGACATGGGCTCATTCATTCTTAAATGAGTACCTTGACCTCATTCAGCTTAATGTCTTCTGCTTGAACAGGAGACCTTGATGAAAACCAATGTACTTGCAACTTGCACCATAATCTATTGAGGGTTTTTTTTTTCTGCTACATGTGATGCATCTCAGGTCCACTGCTTTCTCCTACACAGAGACAGAATAAGTCTCCTCATCATCTCACTATGGATGATGCTGCCACCACCATGTTTAACTCTAATGATGGTGTGTTCAGGCCGATGTGCCGAGTTAGTTTTAAAACGCACGTCTGATTTTTCATGATTTTTCATTTTGGTCGCATCTAACCAGAGCACTTTCTACTAAAGTATTTTGATGAATTTCCTAGATGTCCTTTGATAATCTTGAAGCAAGATTTTTTGGGCGTCCTTTTCTTGCCACTCTTCCTTAAATACCAGATTTGCTAAAGGCCAAAATAGTAGATGTCGTATCATTAGAAGGCCTCCATCCAGGATTTGTACAGCTCTAGAAAACGGAAGCAAACATCTCTGCAGGTCCTGCATATCCTGGACACAAATGGCTGCATATTGCTATCAGCAATAGCTAGCCACCATAGAGAAATACTTACCCCATGCTGCATCTCTGATCAAAACAATGAACGCATTACGGGCTGATCAGTTAGCTATGCTGCTGTGTACATTTGTACAAGCACAACCTGCCTTCCTTTTTTCTTCTTCACAGTTGCTGTACATTCAGAAGTATACACATACTGGTTCTTTCAATACTGTATGTTTGTAAGCTGTGAGAGTGCGAAACCAAAGTCAAATTTGTAGTTAGTTCACAGAATATTGGCCAATAAAGCCGATTCTGGTTCTCACATGATGCATGGATGTCTGTGGCGGGAACCTGATAAAATGTGGGAAACTGAAGGGGCTTGACCGCAAACCACTTCAAAGAGAAAACATAATTTAAAGAGCAGCAGGTTTGGGTTAAGCCATGACACTAGAGATGGTTTAGGTCCACGAGTACGTTCATTTTATATTATACCGAAACATAATTGTCTCCATTCTGCAAAGATTTTAACGTAATACAAAGATTTATGTAACGAAATCTGCTATGCAATTAAATCTAATTTAGTTCTACCAAAGTAATGAAGATAAGACGTATTTAGCAGCAAATTGACTATGCCCGTAGATCTGAAATGATGAAACAGCTGGAAATCGCTCAGAAACTTTCAGCTTTGGATATTTAAGTGTTTTGTGGCAACATATCTGAGGATGAGAACAGATTCAAAGGATTTGTAAGGATGTCTGAATATAAATGTAGGAAAAAACACTCCTGATCAAACACGGCACTAATAGAAGAAGTCTCAGACGGTGAAGTCCTCAGGAGAAAATGCATTCTCCAACAGTGTCAAGGGAAGGCCATAGATATTAATTAGGCTGCCACTGATGGATTAAAAGCTTAATGCTGGAAAATATGCCCATATTTCAAAAAGCTCCACATATCACTTATATTCAACCGGCTCTCTGAGCTCATGCAGGGTTTGAATGCGTGTCATTTCTTTAACGTACCGGTGACCGGGGAGGTAAACGGCCGAGGTGATGCCACGAGAGTGGTGTGGGGAGAAGCTGAAGGTGTGGTTCTCCTGGAAGTTTTGATTGGTTCCAACGCTGAAACAGAGTAAAAACGTTCACATGACATGAAACATAATTAAACTCAAGCGCATAAAAATGAACAAACAACTGAAGTGCTTATGTGGAAGCTTGTGGTGTTGAAAAGCAGTTTTGGGCAGTTTTGGATAATAACAACAAAGCAATTTCTCACCGAGTTGCAATTAAAATGAGGCGTAGTAATTTATATAATCTAATTAGGGACGGCAATTTAAACGAGAGTGGTACATGTGTGGTAGTTTGTGTCAGGATATCTCTGGGGAAATTGTTCTTTGCTGTTGAAATGTAAAGAGAAAAAGAACGATAAAAATGAACACTGAAATGCTGGCCAAAGAGCAAGACAATGAGAGAGATGCTTACCTACAATTCTAAAAAAAAAAAAAATCTAATGAGTCATTTAGCAACAACATCGTAATACAGCCACACAAAGAAGAAGAGTGGATGTGAGCTTTCTGCTAAAAGCTTAAAAACACTTTTAGAGGAAATCTGGTAAAATATCTCCAATGTCTTAATGATCTACTTGCACATACACGCCGGTACCTCAAAGAGCGTTTCTCTGACTGTTATAGGAGAATAAATCAGCGTTTCCCTCACAGGCGCCATCGATACTGACAGAATTGAGGAGAAGGTGTTGGAGGGCTGGACATTGTCTGATCAGGATTCAGTGCACATTGCTGAGTATTACCGTGTGTTTTGGAGTGTCACAGCTCTAAGGCTTTGTGTGACAACAGCTGTGAAACAGGGAAATGGAAAATCTCTAAGGAGATGGGGGTGGGGGGGAAGAGAGGGCTAATGCTAAATCGAACTTGGAAGAAACAGGGTTCCAACACATTTAACATTTCTAAATAACATATTTTTACAACTATATAGATTTTGCAGCCTACAGCTGTGACATTATGGGCACTTGAGTAAAAAACATTTACTTTGTTGATTTAATTATCTGCTTTTGACTTTACGAAAAATAAAAATTACAAAACCGTCGTGCTAAACCTGGCTTTACAAATCAGCAGTGTAACAAAAGTCTAGTTCATTGATTTTTGAGGGTATATCTACCAAACGTTGATCAATTAAGAGAATACTGACAAATCTGGATTGGACTACCTTAGATCAAATAAAAGTTATTTAAAACTGTAGTCTTCGACAGCCAGTCTCATATAACTTTTAGATGCAGTTCTGCTTCACCAGCAAATCAAATAATGAAGTCGTCAGCAGGTCTCTGTAGAAGTTGGCCGCACATGATGAGGTAATTCAGAAATTTGATTCAGCTGTATTGAACAAGGGTTGCATTCTAGAAGTTGCATGACACCAACCTCCAAGGATGGGAGTTTAAGATATCCACTTAAAAATGTGTCAGTATTGTCTTTATTTCACACAAAAAAACTGGAATTTAAATGCTGTGTTATGCATCTAGATCAAGCCCAGCTCAACGAACGGGTCCAGTGCAGAACCAAGAAGTAAAAGTATCTCAGGGTCAAAAAATGCTGTCAAATTAAGGATGCCAGAGTCCTTTCAGAAACTTCACAAAAATTTATTTTTTTTAATACTCTAAATGTGGAATATATAAAAAAAAAAATTAAACTCCATACTTGCCAAGTTATGCAGTTATGACTAGACTCTACTACACAAGATAAGCTACTCATTTTTAAAAGCAAACCATGAAATGCATCAGTAATTTTCCCGTAAAACAGAGGCAGCTTCTCTTTATTTTACTTTTGCTAACAGAACCTGTTAACTGAATTAATTAATTAACTGCGGTTTACCGTTTGCTGTGAAACGACCCCATCAGACCAATAACATGAGTTTAGCTTGTTCACGAGAATTCGCTGTTAACATTCCATGAAACGCGAGGTCGCTGTGTGAACTGTAAAGTGTGCCACTGTTGAAGGTGGTAAGGGGGGAATGTAGTCGCACCTACTAACAGATTATCAAGCTTGTAAGCTTAATAAACAGTGTCATGGTCAATATGAGTAAGTTGTCACACTCTCTTATTCAAGCCTGCAGTGACTCATTGAGGGAGGAAGGAGGGATGGCAAAGACAGATGCAGAAATGAACATGTCCTTTGCATATTATCAGGTATAATAAACACCCACTAATGCAGATTTCTGAGGATAGTAAAGATTCCTTGGCTGCTTAGAGCTTTTATTCCCAAGTGAACTGCTTTATATTATGGATTAATTAACATAAAAGCAACAGAAACAAATTTTAAATATCACTATAAGAATATATTTAAGAATCCTTAAATGTTAAAAGCACACAAGATAAAAAAAGAACCATAAAAATTGTTAAAAATTGAGATAAGAATAGTTAATAAGATATACCAAACATGCAGCATTGTCATGGAAATTTTTGAATAAATGTCTGCTTTTATATTAGAAGACAATAACGCAATTGAAGGGTGGCGAATTAATGAAGCATTTGTGCCTCTCACCTTACAAGGTAGCTCTTGAGTCCACCACTGTATGTGATCACAAGAAGCTCTGCTGACCACTGAGCACTTGCTGTGTACTCCAAGAAGATCAGTCCTGCGACTGCACAGCTGAAATCTCCAGGAAAACTCACCACCTGGATCAGAAAACAGTAAGTCGGAGAGGTGGCGTTAAAAATAAGTGGTGCAACTTCTATTCAATTAAAAAAATAAAAAAGGGAGTAAAAACAATTATCACTTTGCCACCCACCAAGTGTTTTTAACTAAACAGATGTGACATGCAAGGAATGAGCATAAAGTAGACAGTCTAAAGATGAAGAAAGTAATGATGAGACAGGCGAGCCAGGCAAACAGAAGATAAGCGGCAAAGTTAAAGTGACAGAAAGCCAGGGAGATGAGGGGGAAGGAGAACAGACGTGCACATGATTTTTTTTTTTTTCCTGCACATGCACACGTTCTGTCAAATTGACTTTTTTATCATCACCCCCCCCACCCTGAAATAGCAGCAAGTCAGTGGTATGTGCACTTAACAGTGACAAACAGGAGGAAGAGCGAAGCCGAGCTGAGGGGAGCTGATGTAAGTGTGCGAGCGCACTCACTGTCGGCACACAACAAAGCTGCAGTGCACTAAAGGAGCGAGGATCAGAGACTTTCAAAGGTAAGTGTGGCTGGGGAGAAGGACGAGAGTCTGCACTCGCCGTCTGCCAGCGCCATCAGAGCAGTGGAGGGAATGATGGACAGAAATGCAGGAATAATAATATATTGCACACAGAGGACATTAAATGAGGCAGGGATGGAAGATGGACTTGATGGGAGCATGGGGGAGAGGCACTGACACAGACATGCACGGATGAGAGAAATGTGACAGCAGAGAACATGAGGAGAAGACTCGGAGAGTAAGCTGTGAAAAATTTAAAGGTGGGAGCTGATGAAGATGGGATTAAAAGGAGGAGTTGAACAGTAAGAGCAGAGACGGAGGAGAAGAGGAAGAAGGAGCAACAGACAATGAACTAAAAAGCCCCCATGACAGACTAAAGGAGTGCAGAGGGTGTCTGACAAGCAAACATGTACTTCAAGACGTGACAGGCAGCTCAAAGTGTTTCACAGAGCAGGAGTCGAAGTCTCGCCTGACTTGTCTCAGGAGGATTATGGATGTCTGAATCCTCATAACCATCTTACTGTACTCTTACAAGCAGAGCTGCACTGACTGTAGTTTAGGACAATTCTGATACACGATTTTTCAAAAGTGTCCACTTTCCGGATTCTGATTTTAGCCAGTTTCTCTGAAAGAACCATATCACCATATGGTGTTTTTTTTCTCCATTATCTCTGATTGAATTTGCAAAAATAACTGTTGAGTAATAATATGCTGGTTTGTGTTTTTCTTTGAGGACTTAAGAACTTTTTCTATTCAATAACATATCACATGTACAGATATTAGACGTTAATGAGGAATCGGTAAACATTTTAACATTTTTGCATCAAACCATAATGTCAGGAAATGTCAGGTAAAATTTAAATCCCACCTTAAAACACCCTTCATTTTCCTAACATATCTGGACATTTAGTAGATTTTTTTAGCATAGCTTTCAAGTAATATCGATAAACTTTACACCGAGAAAGACTCCTGCAAAATGTGGTAATGCATTATCCGAGACTCGTCCACATTTTTGCCCACCTAAACCAACCTGGCTAAAATTACACATAGGCGTGTCGCATCAGCTGAGCACACGATTACAGCTTCTGAGCATAAAGAAGTGAAAAGTTCATACATAAAAAACTAATTCAAAGAACTCACAGCTGAAAGTGAAAAGTGGTTGAAGCTTTTTTCAGTCTGATGATAAGGATTGATATGAGGTTATTAGAACCATTTCACATAAATTATTTCAACCAAAGCAGGACACATTGGCCATTAAGAGGGTGTCAATGTTTTTACTCAAAAGACCTTTTTTAGAATAAGTAACAAAATATTTGTATTTAAGTGTTTAAATAATTTTTTCCAGAAACTAATAAAAAAAAAATACATTGCATTAATGTAGGTTCTTGACCTAAAATAATAAAAGTAAAAGTATATAAAAGTATGTTGCTTTTTGATGATTTTGTAGGCTGAAAATCAATGGAATTTTTTTATTTTTTTTTTTCATAGTAAAAAAAAGGAAAAATACAACACAGGGAGCATAAAAGTGATTGTCAGAAGATGTCAAACAGCTTGGATAAGCATGATTACCGGAGGGATGACAAAAAGTTCGCTGCCAATGAGGTCAAAAAGGCGAACGGTGCCTGTGCTGTCCGCATATGCCAACAGAGTGCAGTCGTAACTCCACGCCACCTTTCGCCACTGAGGGTTGGGATCCTTTGGCACTGTGGGAAAAATGGTAAGAAATGAATAATTAATCCCAAAGTGATCAAATTTCAAGAATTAAAAGCTTTCAAATCAAGTCAGATGAGACAGCATTCTAGATTATATCTTCTATAATGTATGGTGCTAATGATTACAGACGGGTGATAAATCAATGCTTCTAAAATTCCAAGACCAATTTATCTATAATAAACAACAAAAATAACAGCTCAGCGATTGTGTTTTAAAAGGGGAAACACTTGTATGCTTTCAAGATTAAAGCAAGGAGAGAGAAAGTGAACAAGCTTGGGGATAGGAAAATTAAAAAAAAGGTGGGAGGAGAACAGGCATCATAAATTCAGCTTTTACTGAAGTATAGGCTACTGTTTTAGGAATGTGCTGGCTCAGCAGAGCTGCGAGGGTAACCATATCGCAATGATGAAGCACATCCGTGCCTGCTGGCATGTGCTCAAGGCTCCGCTGTCATCCTTCCTTTTGACAGAGGAACCAGGTGGGGCTGGCAGGCCCCAGGCACAGGACCTGTTTTGAATGCTTAATTGGGGGGGCGAGAGGGGAGGCGGGTTAAATAAAGTGAGACCTGCATAAACCAAGCTGGTCTTCTTTTATTGTGGCAACAGCGACGTGTCCAATCCGCGTCGTTCCGAAAAGGCAAGTTATGTTTCTCTGTGGTTGATATCCCATAACGGAGCTCCCGGCATCTATTGGACTGAAATTCTTGGCCGTGAAATGCTGCTGCAACCCCTGGTGGGCAATAGCGCTAACGAACGGGGGCGATGGATATTGTATGACTGGAATTTTAAATGAAGAACAAAAGAGAAGAAGTGGGAGGCGAGGCAGATAAAGAGAGGACAGGAGAAGCCGGGGATGAGACAATGAATGAGACACAAAGATTAAAAACACAACGACTGCTCACATTTTAGGGCCATCGGATGAGGAGCACATTAGGAGGCAGAAACTTATCAGACTGCAGATAGTGAGATTACAGGCAGGCTATAAAGCTCTGTCCTCCTCTTGTTCTTTTGCATCTTTATGTTTAAATCTCTTCTTTATTACATCATCCCTCACAAACTTGCCATCTTATCTACCGTACCATTATGAACTGTGGACAGCAACACAGTGGGCTCCATTTCCCTATGCATGTTTTTTTGAGAGAGCAAGAAAATTAGATGCTACTGTGTCTTCAATTTGCCCCCCTGCCCCCCACCCCGACCCCTCCAAGCGAAAGTGGAGGCAGAAGAATTACACCCAATGACCCAATAGTAGCCTTCTATCTGAAGCCTTGCAGATGCATTTATCAGAGCTCAACACTTATGAATTATGCACAGAGGTTTTGAGACAACTCTACTGTAACAGAGGCAGACGGGAGAGGGGGGAAGCGTAGGGGTGTGTGGGGGGGGGGGGGATACATAGGTGTGGATGCAATGAGCGGACACGAGAACATATGCGCGCTCACACACACGTTCATGCTCATCCATTAAGAGAAAACGCCATTAAAAGCAGGATCACAGTGAAATCCATTAGAACAAATCTCCGTGAAGTGAAATGAAGTATGAAAAAAAATGGAAAAGAGAGATGAAATGGAGAGGAAAGGAAAAAAGAAAAAAAAAAGAGGGAGGGAGGGAAGGGTTTACACGCGCCCAGGGGCTACTGTTATCCACACTATGAACCATTAGGAACAACGGATCACAATGACGGCTCGCCAGAGCAGAACGGAGGACCGAGGGGAAGGGAGGGATGACAAAAATAAAGCTAAAGAAAATGACAGAATAAGAAAAGAAGTGGAGGTGATGCTGGACCCACACAGCAGGTTTCACTCTGCATCTTTTACCTCTACCTGCTTTGCATAGGTGCTGTGAAAGAGTATTTAATAGAGGTTTTATGCAACACTTAAATGTTTCAGCTCCAACTAATTTTAATATGAGGCAAAGGTAACCTAAATAAATTATTTATTAAGGGGGGAGGAGAGGGAACCTGCACGGACAAATTGACTAATCAGCTTCTTTATCATCTTTGATTGTGTGGGTATATATACTTAGACATATGTAAACCCAGATAAAATTAATTAACCTGTTTATTTTTATTTTTGATTAGATTTATTGATGAGGGTCCATCTGAAAATATTGCAAGAGTTTATGGGGCAGAAGTTCATAAGTTTTTTACTTCTTCTTACTCCTTTTCGAGCACGTTAAGATTACTGTGGTACAAAAACAATGTGTATTTTGCCTTCCTCTTACTTGTACGTGATTTTATACTACTGTTATGTTCAAAATAAGTAAAATAAATAACTTTGTTACAAGTTTATAAATGTATTCTCTGTGGACTTTTATGTAATAGAGCCTAAGAGCTGCTGTCATAAGGTTTCTTGTCTTGGCACATATGTGGTTTTGTTCTTATACAGGTCCAAAAAAGAAACCTATCCACACAATAGAGAATTGTGTGAAATGTCTACTTGTAACATACACAAAACATATGAATCATTTATGAGGCTCTTCCAACAGATAATGCATATGGATTGGAAAGACAGACTGAAGAACTCTGAACATTAACACAAGTATAGGTTCATTACTTTTCACAGTGATGTCATCATTTTACTTTTTGGAGTACTTCACGATCTGTTACCATATGAGGATGTGAGCTCAATGGTTGATACACTGTCTGTCAGCTGCCCCGAGTGGCAAAATAATTATTAGCTGAATTATTCAGAAAATAAGGCCAGGTCGCATCCCATGTCAAACACTCCAAGCTCTTGGCACGCTGGGATGAGGGGATTTTCAACACTGACAACTGCATAATGCAGCAGAAGATGAATTAACATTATAAAGTTATTGGTGCAACATCTGAGTTGCATTTATGTTAATTTAATAGAAAGTGGAGTTATTCCATATACTTGGCATCTTTAGGTTCCAAAAATTCATGCCTAGAGCGACGCAACATATTAAATCAATGCCCACTTAGGATTCAGGGGCAAAGACACTGAAGTTCATGCAGAGTGCTATGAGCATGGGGATGACAGAAAAAGGAGAGAGAGGAAAAGGTGGATTATATTGTAATGCTCAACAAAATCAAATATGTTATCCTAGTATGTTGTTGCATCTTTTAACGTGTCCAAATGTGGCAGCATTTTGTTTCACATGCAAGGCTGGGATGCAATAGTGTGACATGAGCAGTTACTTTATTCTGTACAGATTTATATTTCATTAAAGAAAAACAAAAGAACAATATATTTACTAACAAAACCCAGGTGGTGGGACTGCTTAGACACTCGAAAACAATTTGCCTTCATAACGATAGATATGCTAAATCAATTACAATTATGGAAGAAATCAAGTTGGGTGCACTCAAAGTTGTTTTGTCCACCAGGGAATAAGATGTACTTCAATGCTCTAAAGTATCTGCGGCAGAAACTCTGACTGTAATCCTTGCACTCTAAAAGAGAAAATATGACCCAGTTTTGTATAATATTCAAATCCAGCAGTATTCCAGACAAGTAGCGCTGGGCGATGTTTATATCTATGAAACATTAGACGCAATACAGCAGAAATGTTTTAGATCCCCCTGCTACTCGATTCGTATTAATCTCGCTATGTTGTTAATGGATAGCAATTTAAATAGTAGAAGTGATTATCTTGGCTGTTGTTCATCAGTCTAGTCCAGTCACTCACTTTGTTTTGATAGTTATTTTTCTTAAAGCAGACTCAAATCAGACAAGAATGGACAAATAGGCAATTCTTAACTCCTAATATCAATATTCACACACTAAGTTGGCTCAATGTTAGGAAAGCTTTCGAAGTGGCCTTGATCAACATTTCTCTTTGGGATGTTTTTTTTTTTTTTTTTTTTTTTTAAATACAGCAATTATTAAGAAGAAATTCAACATAAAACAATTTATGATTTGGGTAGTTTAACAAAGAATCTACATTTTTGTTATTTCCTTTCTGAGTAAAAATAAATTATGATTACTTTTTTCATCAGAACTAATAGCAAATCATTTGCACTAAATTATTGTTTTAATTATTAATCTGAAACTTAGTAATATATTCTGAAAATCTCCTGTATTTTTTTCTTTATTTTGTACCAAGATCCTGGGCTGGAAAAGTGAGGGTGATTTACTGCTATTAGGCAGTAGTGCTGTAATTCATGCAAGTAATATGCATTCAAGAGCTTGCTGAGGTCAACAAAAGGCTAATAACTTAAATGCTCCTAATCTGATTGGATCTGGGTCACTGCTGCTTGCTGATATGCAATTCCTTGGTGTCATTTCTGTGGCAATTTATTCACAAGCACTGAATTTAAAGCTACAGCAACACAAAGTAGAAACATATGAACCGTACAGACCTCAGTTCTTTGCAAACCGAAGAGGTGTTTACTGTGTTATGAGGATTTAGTGTTCAATTAACATAAACTAAGACCACAAAACAAGCAGAACTTACCCTGGCATTTTCCAATGACAGAGCCAAAGTCATCTCTCGCAGATCTGAGGAGAAAATGCATACGTAAGCAAAAACTGTGAAGAAGGTGAGTTCACTCTGAATAACACGGGCATGCAAAGACTTTACCAGGGTCGGGAAGCCAATGACCCCAAATTAGCCCAGTGGATTACAGATGTGAAACAAAAAATAAAAACAGATTGCTGATCCACAACATCAGGTTCATTGTTTATTTTACAAATATGACAAATATGTTACTTAAAAATAAAGACACTACTGCATCTCTGTTAGCCAAACTGTGACTCTGTGTTTTCCATTTATACATCCTGCACAGGTGACTTACAGAACTCATTATCAGGTGAAGCTCCTTAAGTATGGGGGAAAAAATGAACCACCTTTGACATTCAGGAAAACAGTTTAAAATATATGCAGGTTTTGCAAGTGTGACTTTTCAAACTGTTTTTTCTTTTTTTTTTTTCAGGCAAACCAGCTTAGTTTAATCATTACATTACAACCGTACAGTATGGTTTTGATATTCTTAGTGTAAAATTAAAAACTGGATATACCTGGAAATAACCACCACAAATATTCTCAGGAGTATATCCACTGATTGCTTCTTCTACCATTTAGACGTACCAGTTTGAGGAAGCGTTGCTTAATTGTTTCAAAAGAACTGAACAGCAGCAGTTAAAGGTGTGCTAAATTAACTCGAATTCTCTCCACCGAGTCATTACATCGCTACTGACTGTACATGCTTCAACAAAACGGTTCTTCTTTCTCAGGTGCAAGTTGAACCTGGAAGTCTTTCTAAGAAAAATGTGATAAATCACCTCGTTAATTAAAAAGGCTCTATCGCTCTCGCACAGGGCTTTAAAAGAGGAGATAGAGTTTTGTAATTACCTAATTTCCACACACTGATCTTGAACAACCGCCAATAGTTTGCCATTACTGTGGAGTAAAACAGAAGAGCGGTCAGGAATGAAGGAGCAAAAGAAATGAGAGAGAGCAGAAGGACAGTGAAGTTAATGGAAAGGGGTAAACACTTGTCATTTTATTGCTACACATGAAATTGCAAGCGGGAAAAAAAAAAACAGACACGTTTTGTGTGTTTTTCTGGAAAGAACAATGTGAAGATGGGAATAAAAAGCCAGGTTGAGTGACTTAAAATGAATAAACATCCAGATCAGGTCATATCCAGAAACATTGCTTTGTGGTTTGGTTCAGTTAACAATTACCATTTGAATACAGGTCTTTTTATTGTTATTTGTGATGAAGACAAATTATTAGCTGACCACAGATGAGTTACATATTGAGGACCAAAGAAAAAAAAAAAAAAAAAGAAAGCATGCAAGACAGTGACTGTATGTTCCTGTTGTACCTTGAAAGAACCAGCTGCCAGTTGATTTGCTTGTTTGCCAGTCGAACGAGACCAAGAGGCAGAGATGAGCTGGAGGGGCTGAGAAAGGGGGGAAAAAAATCAATTTCAAATTGATCATTTAAAAAAAAATTATAATTTTATTTCAATACTTGGATTTTTTTGATACTCCCCAAAAAAGGTTTAAACACAAAAACAATTAGTCTTTATTAGTTTATCTTTGTTCGTTTATTAGAAATTATCATGGTATGATAAGGAAAAATGTCGCGCTTTCACTTCATCTTATTATGTTATATAACATATTATATTTATTTAATGGTCTGGTTCTCTTTAGTTTTTACACAATAATTATTTTATGGAGACTAGAAATATTTCCTGACAGCCAGCGCTATCTTCTTTCATGCTATCTTCTTTGAACTGCACATCTGCAGTCAGCTGGCAACAGGTGGGGGATGGGCAGTGTTCCATTATTGTAAGCTTCATTCTAGTCACTCTAACACCTTCTCTGGTGTCTAATTAGAAGGACATTAACAAGTAAAACTAGCATCCCCAGCTTAAACCACAAGTTTACCAAATTAAAAATATCTTCTTTTTTCACTTTCTGAAGTTGAGTCATGCCAAAACCGTTCTTGTTTAATCAATTAGAACTACCAAACCTATTTCTATTTGCTAAATATTAAAAAATGAGTATAAATTCTCAGTTTACCTTGATACTAATAACCAGAATGTGCTCTTTGTCCAAATGTGTAAAAAAAAAAAAAATTAAATTACCAAAATCCAACAAAATTTATTTTAACTATTCAACCTAGTTACCAAGAAAATGTGCTATTTTTGAAAATAAAATATTTTCCTTTCTCCAAGTGACTGAATTTGATTGGCTTAAGCAACCCATATGTTTTAATGCTCTTTGAAGTAAATCATTAAATTGGTTTATTTCAAAGTGGTAGCCAAGTCTGAAGATATGGCGACTCCACCACTGAAGACACACATGCTGCCAGCAAATTATTACAGTCCCACAATCCCAATTCTCTCCTCCTGGTTGTATTTTTCTTTCAACGAATGAAGGTTATTAACTCAGCTGTCAAAGATGCTAATTTACGTAGTGGATGTAGCAATATCAGCCCTCATAAAGGCAAACGACTGTAAAGGCTTAACTGAACTGAGTGTAGAAGTAATTATTTTCTTCCTGCTCAGTAGCAAAAGGAAATGTCATATAAAAAGTACTGAATACAATTCATTAAAAACGTGGAAATTAAATCTAAAATTAAATACTTTAGCATTGTCACTCTGGCAACAATCCAATTATAAAAATGATTTATTTTTTTAATACAACTGCTTTTTATTTCTGGGTCTCACATTTCATGACAACCTTTTAGGCTGCTGATCATCTCTCACCTTGTGCACAGAAAATAAGTAAGGTAGAAAGTTTATACATTATAAAAACGCTGGACCTTTCACATAAAATAAAAAAAGACTTATGTAGCTTGAAGAGGTGTTAAATATTTAATACAGTTATTGATGGTGTTAGCTAGCCCCCTGCTGGGAGGATAAGAAGGCCTCGAGGCTAAAGCATTACAAAGCTCACTGCTTCACACACTGACGGCTGCTTCAATGTATTCCAGCAGGCAGTGTGCAGGACCAAAGGAGTGGCTTTGGTGAGCATTTCCTGATTTCCACTGATAATAATGGCGGAAGTACAAATATGAATGTCTCAAATAGACTGGATATTTATATTTAATAAAATATACATAAATTTAAGCCTCCAAGGAGCTAGCTCAAAGTTTAATGTATACTGACTGCTTTGAGTCTGAAAGAGGGAATGCTTTACAAGACAAAGACGTATCCAGATATTAAATATTCATTCTTCTAAAATGCTACATTTCTAATGTTGCCACAGTAGATTAAAGGATTTCTCAAACATGCATGAAAAAAATCAGAGCAACACTCAGAAAAGTCAATTTTATATAATAATGCCCCTTTAATGAGATGGATAACCACACTTATCTATTCAAGCTTTTTCCAATTTATTTTTTTTTTTCATTTTTATGGTGTTGATTGACAAAAGCTTATGTTTTGTCGACATAAGCTTTTATGTCAACGAAAGCTTTAACATTCCTGTTAAAGCTTTGAATAAACATATTAATTCAATAATAATTTTTTTTTTTTTTTTTACTGGAGGACCAGCAAATATGCAGTTAAAATAACAACAGTGTTTCATTGTTTCAATGACAAACTTACCTATACCACATATAGTGAAGGAGCAATCGGAACGGTCCTGAGGAAGATTTATGAAAGTTAGTGAGCTAAAGTGGACATTTCAGTAAATACACCCAGCCCTAGTAAATGAATTAGTTTGTCATATTTTTACTTCAACTTCAAACAGCCCTGCAGAAACCTAATTTAGCAGTTTTTTTTTTTATTTCCTTTGGCATTACATGCAATGTCTGCATTGTATGCAATGTTGAGATTGTACGTATAGTGGTATGAAACCAGCATTTGATAACGTACTTCAGTATATTAAGCTTTTTCCAATTTTATTTTGATAGTTTTGTACATTTCTGTTAAAGCTTTGAATATATATATATTAATTCAACAATAAAAAGCCATTTGGTGGATGAATGTCTTTTTTAACAAACATACTAAAATGTAAGCCTGAAGTATATAATACCGAATACTGATGTATGTTGTATCATGGGATTGACTGTATTCTACCTTGATTTCAGAATAGCTCTTTTTAAAGTTAATCTCAATATTATAAAATAAACGACAATAAATGCATTTAAATGATGATGATGATGATGATGATGCATTTAAACTCCATACAAAACAAGTCAGTAAAGCACACATGGGTTGAAGATATGAAAAAAAAAGAAGAGCAACCAACAAAGGCATTTCACAGCTGAAGTATATAGCAGCCAGAAAAATCTCACATTAATCATTCAGCATTTTACTCTAGCACATGAAAAAGCTTTCCTCAAGACAAAGGATTTTAAACTACAGTTCAATGCCCTGCAATGTTCAGATGTATCAACCCTGATACAAATTTCCAGTTGGTGGATATATACTATTCATTATCTGGATCTATTCTTCTATCCAAAGCATAAGAGCAATATTACTTTTATTTGTTTTGTTTTGTCTTTTTGCAACCAATGTCATTATTTCAACATTCAAGAAAGATGTTCTAATATTGTGCAACCCTATGCCTTTTATTGGACTTTGATATGAATCCTTGAGAATGCATAAGTTGTTGTTGTGCTTCAGGTAGGACACCTAAGTCATCTATTAAAAACTGGAGTCTTTGCTCACAGGGAGGTGGAAATATACAAACAAACAATACACAAATAACCTTTAACAGGTTCACCGCTTTAATAGAAAGCCGTGGACCTTATTTTTGTCGACGTTAAACATACTTAAACATAAAGCGAAACTCACCTGTTACAGCTTTTGCAATTACAGACGTGCTGTACTCCTTGATGCCTCGTAACTGTAAATGATAGGAGAAATAAACAGTTATTTATCTTTGTGGGACTAAAGCTACACAGGACAATTGCTGTTATAAAGATGTAAATAAAAACAAAAGTAGGCACATAACATACAAGAATTTTTGTTATAAGTTTAATGTTAAAATGTGTATACATATTTTATTATTTAACTGAACTGAATTGAACAGAATTGAACTGAACAGATTCTTTTGAACTTTGCTAACAGTGAGCTTAAAAGTCTGTAAGAAAAGTGCAATTTCTTTGCATATATAATAACTTTACTACATTCATTGAGCAGGAATTATACACATATAAACCTAATTAATATTAAAACTGCATAACTGGAGTAGGACTTGTCCAGTGTTTCTACTACGTGGCTTTGCGCTGCTGGCAGGGTCCAGATCACTTTATCGTGCTTTATTAACAATTATTCTTTAAAAAAAGACCATGGCGAACCTAACAACACTAGCTAAATGTCTGAGGTGACAAACCTGTGTGTCAGTCTCCGGTGGCCATTCCGTAATGACTAATAAATCGTATAAAATGTTTTCCTCTTCGCCTTCCATTAAGTTGTCTTCAGCCATGATTGCCACAGCTGTCAGAAATGTCTCCTACGGCAAGCACAGTGAGACAAAATACAGTGAGACCACACAATTTTACAGTATTGGTCCTCCCTAAAAATGTTGTGTTTTTTTGTGCCTGCTTTCACCTTGCACAATATAATTTTATATTTATATAAGAACACAAATTTTTTGCTAACGCAGTTTTTAAACCATACTGCTGTTAATGCGGAACTATTGTGATTGTTCTGTTTTGACGTTCTCTTAAACTAGTTGCACCGAGCCGGTCATTATGAACACGTAACATCCGTTCGGGTAGCACTCGTTGCAGCAAAAATGGCAGCCTTTTCTGGTGAGTTTTTCTTGTTAATTTAATTAACCTCTACTTGTTCAGTAGCTATTTTAGCAGCTAGTTATTACTAAGAACCAGACCTTCGCTCTCAAACATTAAATGTGTGTTTTACAAACGCAGAAATGGGTGTTATGCCTGAAATCGCGCAGGCTGTGGAGGAGATGGATTGGCTGTGAGTTATATTACACTGTTTGCCAAATCATCCATAGCAGTAATTCCTTGCTCTTTTGTTCCTCCCTCATTTTATCTGAAAAGCTTATGCTGATTATTTCATTGTCTTAATTATAGACTGCCAACAGATATCCAAGCAGAGTCCATTCCCTTGATTCTTGGTGGAGGAGATGTTCTAATGGTAAGCTTCCCCCTGTGCACAGTGGCTTGAAAAAGTATTTACACCGCTCGAACTGTTGCTTAACTATTGAAATAATTTGTGATAGTTCATGTTTTTGGTTTGATCTAGGCGAACTTTGACTGAGCCACTCCAAGATATGACTATGATTAAACCACAACATAGTAACTAGAACTGGTTGTAATTTTTTTTTAGGGTTGTAATTCTACAATTTGAACCTCAAGAAGGTTATTTGTGTAAGCCTGTCTCTATAAAACTTAAGCTTGTATGTTAAAAATTATTGAAAATTTAGTTTGGCATGAATATTTTTGGAAGGCACTGTAAATATATCACTTTCAAAAAGCCGGCACAAAGTACAAGTTACAGACTCTGAAATTTCTTATTCATTCTTATTACAGGCAGCAGAAACTGGTAGTGGGAAGACAGGAGTAAGTAGAGCCACGCTTCATTTGAAGTCCAGTTTTAAACATTTGCTCTTCATCAAACATATACATCAGGTTGAGCTTTGCAGAACAAGTTCAGTGTGCTATTAGTCTTTATTCCCCTTTGATCACCAGGCCTTTAGTATCCCGGTCATCCAGATTGTCTACGAAACCCTGAAGGATCAGCAGGAGGGCAAGAAGGGCAGAGCTGCTGTCAAAACTGGGGGAGCAAGTGAGATTCATTTATTTATCAGATAAAATTATTCAATCCAAAGCTTAACTAAAGTCATTTTGCATTTGTTTTTCCTGCTCATAATCTTTGCTTCATCCTAGTTTTCAACACCTGGCAGATGAATCCATATGATCGTAGCCCAGCCTTCGGTAAGAGAAGTTTAAGAGAACTCATCTGCATTAAAAGACAGCCCAACTGATTTTTAAGACAAACACTTCAAACAGCTGCAGCTTTGTAATTTGCAACACGTCTCTCTTTGCTGGTCTGCTTAGCAATCGGCCCCGACGGACTCTGCTGCCAGAGCAGGGAGTTCAAAGAGTGGCACGGCTGCCGCTCCACTAAAGGTGTCACAAAAGGTCAGTGAGCATGATTTTTAATTATTTACCAAACTACTGTGAATAAGAGAATCCTACATTCAAAGTACTTATTCGATTGGATTATAGGGAAGTACTACTATGAGGTAACCTGCCATGACCAGGGTCTCTGCCGGGTGGGTTGGTCTACCAGTCAAGCTGCTCTGGATTTGGGTATGCGTTGAAAAATCTCCAGCCTACAAGAAAACCAAAAAAAAAAAAAAAAAAATCTTGTCAGCTGTGCAGTAACTGAATTGTAAATTGTTGCGTTTCTCAGGAACTGACAAGTACGGCTTTGGTTTTGGTGGGACCGGAAAGAAATCCAACAACAAGCAATTTGACAGCTACGGGGAGGTGGAAATGACTCCTCTGTTGTTATGAAACATAATCAGATTGTGAATATTTCTTTTTTGGTTTGTTTGCTTGTTTTACATGTCATCTCTTTTCCCTCTTTGCAGGAGTTTACCATGCATGACACTATCGGGTGCTACCTGGATTTAGACAAGGGGCAGATCTCCTTCTCTAAAAATGGTGCATCATAATTATTCATTTTTGGATCATAAAAGATGTAGGCAACACGTTGAGCTGTTGATGGTTAGTAACATTTTGCTGCTTCTTTTTCCTAGGAAACGACCTGGGTTCAGCTTTTGACGTCTCTCAAAATTTAAGTAGCCAGGGCTTTTTCGCTTCATGCGTCCTGAAGGTACCTCCACGCTCAGTAGATAGAAATACTTAATAGTAGAAATCAAAAACGAAGTGCCGTGTATCCGTGGTGCCATACAAGCCTACATGTTTCTGTCTTGCTAGAATGCTGAGCTGAAGTTCAACTTTGGAGGAGAAGACTTCAAACATCCCCCTAAAAGTGGGTTTGTCGCTCTGGATCAGGCACCGGAGAGTCACACCATTAAATCTTCCCAAACAGGTAAAGGAACAGCATTCCAAGTTTTGAAATGGAAATCATATTCATTTCACCAATTTTCAAAAGTTCCACTGTTTATTCATTTTTGATCATTTTTTTTTTTAATCTGCAGGCAGTGCCAAAGTGACTCAAGTGAAGGCTTCATCAAACGCACCCAAAGCCCTGATCATTGAGCCATCCAAAGAGCTGGCAGAGCAAACCTTCAACAATGTCAAGCAGTTTAAGAAAAATGTGGAAAATCCCAAGCTAAGGTCTGGCAAACAATGATGGAAACTGCATGCCTGTGTTTGTAATTTCAAATTATTGCCAGCAGGTGGAGCCAGAGTGTTGGTGTTAATCTTCTCCAATCAGCATTTGCCAAGTTTCCTCATCTGTGATTACAGGGAGCTTCTTGTGATCGGGGGTGTTGCAGCTAAAGAGCAGCTAGCAGTTCTGGAACAGGGGGTATGTAGTATCTATAGGCTTAATTGGTTTAAATGTGAAATGCACAAACTAAAACACATAAGTTTTCATTCTTTTCTTGTTTCTTTTTCTCTGTTGTTTTTTTTTTTGTTTGTTTTTGTTTTTTTGTAACTTTCTGTGTGTTTGATTCTGTTATCAGGTAGACATAGTGGTGGGAACACCCGGAAGACTGGATGACCTTGTTTCCACCGGAAAACTCAGTCTGTCCCAAGTCCGTTTCCTGGTTCTGGATGAGTGTGTATGTGCAACACATCTGCAAAATTTCAATCCACTTTAAAAACATCAAGTTCTCACTTCTTCTGAAAGACATTTTCAATTTCTTTAGTTTTTTTTTTCTCTTTTTTTTTTATTATAATGACACGGTTCATTACATTTTAACATGTATCGGGGTTCACTTTGTCTTCAGGATGGTCTCCTAACAGCCGGATACACAGACTTCATCAGCAGAATCCATAAACAAATCCCTCAGGTCACCTCTGATGGCAAGAGGCTGCAGGTATCATTAAAGATGATGATAAGGATTCTAATCATAATGCAATCTAAGTAGAGATGCATGACGTTATGCAAATGATGCAATTTGTGATGCGATTGGTGAATATTTCCATGATGATATTAGTTGGGATAAACCCACATTTTTCTCACTTATCTTTAGCTCTAAGAGTCGGTGAAGAAAATACTGAAATTACAAGACTTGCAGGATGCTTAGAGATTGCTTTAATATTTTCAGTTTAGGTGTTTTCCATCAGATTTAAAGCAAGTTTGAACTCTACTGGGGAAAAGAAAAAAAAAAAAAAGGTTTCTGCTGAATCTTAAAAACCAGTGCCACTTGCTCTTCCCAGGTCATCGTGTGCTCCGCCACACTGCATTCCTTCGACGTGAAGAAGCTCTCCGAACGCATCATGCATTTTCCCACTTGGGTGGACCTAAAAGGCGAGGACTCTGTCCCGGAAACCGTCCACCACGTGGTGGTGCCGGTCAACCCGAAGGCCGACCGGCAGTGGGAGCGCCTCGGCAAGAACCACGTCCGGGTGAGACACAAAAGAGATTACATGACACAGTGGTACAGGCTGACGAGGAAAGCTTTTGTATTTATTCCGATCTGCTTTCCTTCGGTTAGACCGATGAAGTCCACGCCAAAGATAACACCCGACCAGGAGCCAATACGCCAGGTAAAGTCTATGCCAGGTTTTACCGTATTCTTAATTGGAAAACATCAATTTTTTTTTCCTTCCAGTGAACATTACAGATATTTCTGTTTACCTTCTTGGTTAGAAATGTGGTCTGAAGCTATCAAGAAGCTGAAGGGCGAGTACACGGTCAGGGCCATCAAAGAGCACAAAATGGACCAGGCTATAATCTTCTGTCGCACCAAGATCGACTGCGACAACATGGAGCAATACTTCATTCAGCAAGGAGGAGGTGGGCAGATGTTTTAAAATTCAGCACCGATTTGTAAATATCATTATTGAATCATACATTTGGAATGCCTTTTTCTCCAGGTCCAGACAGCAAAGGTCACCAGTTCTCCTGCGTTTGCCTTCATGGTGATCGAAAGCCGAACGAGAGGAAGAATAACTTGGATCGCTTCAAGGTGAGAACCAAAGACGAACACGACTTTCTGATGCGGTTCTGCCAGTCAGTAGACATTTTAAGGTCCTCTCATCTTCATAGAGAAAAGATGTGAAGCTGCTGATCTGCACAGACGTGGCCGCCAGAGGAATCGACGTCAGCGGCGTTCCTTATGGTACCCATTTTGTCGTTGCATCCGCTTTGTTCACATCGGTGCTTCTGCCCACCTGTTCTCACGACGTCCTGTTTCTCCCTTCACAAATTCAACAACAGTGATTAATGTCACCCTGCCTGACGAGAAGCAGAACTATGTCCATCGTATCGGCAGAGTTGGTAGAGCAGAGAGGTAAGCGCAGGACAGAGCAGACTTCTGAAGACAATTGATTCTTGAACTATATTGAGGGTTTCAGGGT